TTGGTTTGCCTAGCTACCACGAGTAGGCGCCATCACGACTCTGATGGTGGGAAATCCGGGTCGTGACAAGTTGGTATCAGAGCACTAGGTTACATAGGTCTCACAACTCACGAACAAACTTAGTAGAGTCTGAGGGGTAGGTACGGAGACGTCTGTACTTGTTCCCCAAAGTCTATTGAGTTAGGAAAAATCTCTCATCTGTTCTTTCTTGTCGTGCGATTTGGTTTCTTAAATGCTGATTGAATTTCCACTCTGTTCTTTCGCAGATGGTGTGAACACGCGCTTCCTCATCCACCGATCACCAGTCCGAGCCCCAGGCAGCTCCCGCTAGGGGCAGAGGACGTGGCCTGCTGGGGACCGAGGTAGGGGCAGGGCCCAGCCACCAGCAGCAACACCAGTGGCGGACACTCAGGGTGACCTTGGCGAGGAGGTTCTGGCCCAGGCTCAGACAGTTCTGGTGGGCCCAGCTTAGGTCCCAGAGGGGTTTATTGCTACCCCAGTTCTTCAGGACGCCTTGGTCCGGTTGGTTGGTCTCATGGAGAGTGTCACCCGAGCAGGATTGCTTCCTACAGCACCAGCCGCTTCCCAGGCTGGAGGAGGAGCCCAGACTCTTGCTGCACGTACTCCGGAGCAGGTAGCTCCCCAAACTCAGATCCCACCGGGCCAGCCGGCTGTTGCAGTTCAGCCGGGGGTAGTTGCACAGGCCGGTGATGGAGCGGCTATGTCCGCTGATGCTTTGTGGAGGCTGGACGGGTTCACCAAACTTTTCACTGCTACATTCAGCGGAGCTTCTTCTGAGGACCCCCAGGATTTCTTATACAGCTGCCACGAGGTTCTTCGAAACATGGGCATTGTGGAGTACAATGGAGTTGATTTTGCGGCTTTTCGTCTATCCGGATCCGCCAAGAGTTGGTGGAGGGATTACTGTTTAGCCAGACCAGCAGGGTCGCCGCCTTTGACTTAGGGTCAATTTTCAGAGTTGTTCCTGGAGAAGTTTCTCCCCGTTACTCAGAGGGATGCTTGTCGGAGGCAGTTCGAGCGCCTCCAGCAGGGGTCTATGACAGTCACTCAGTATGAGACCCGGTTTATCTATCTAGCTCGCCATGCCCTCGTCATACTTCCCACTGAGAGGGAGAGGGTGAGGAGATTTATTGACGGTTTGATCCAGCCCATTCGTCTTCAGATGGCCAGAGAGGCGGGTAGTGACATTACGTTTCAGGAGGCGGCCAATGTGGCCCGGAGGATCGAGATGGTTCTGCCACAAGGGGGTGGTCATAGGTCAGACAAGAGACCCCGTCACTCAGGTTGATTCAGTGGTGCCTCACCTGGAGGCAGGGATTCTTATGATAGGGGTCAGTCTTCCAGGCCCTTTCAGTCAGCCCTCTAGGCTTCGCAGGGTGCTCCAGGCGATCATGGTTCTCGTGGGCAGTATTCTGATCAGCAGCCCATCAGTGCACAGCCCCTTCAGAGTTTTCGTGGAGGTCACTCGGGTCGTCAGGGCCAGTCTCATCGTACAGAGGGATGTTATGAGTGTGGCGAGTATGGTCACATCAGGAGAGCCTGCCCGAGATTGAGGGGTACACAGTCACAGCAGCAGGGTCCTCGCCCCATGATTCAGGCACCAGGTGACCCCCAGCCTGCCCAGCCTGCCAGGGGCGGGGGTAGGGATCATAGAGGTGGAGGTCGAGATCGTAGAGGTGGAGGCCGGACCGCCGAGAGGTAGGGGTCAGCCGCTAGCCGATCGTCCTAGAGACATGGTTCAGGGAGGTGGGGCTGATCCCCGATTTTATGCTTTACCAGCCAGACAAGATGCCGTTATTACAGGTACTATTCTGGTTTGCGATAGAGATGCGTCAGTGCTATTTGACCCTGGGTCTACATATTCATATGTGTCGTCTTATTTTGCNGAGACTATTGTTGACTATTCCGCATTTTGATTCGGACTTATAAATTAGACTTCCGCTATTGTTATTATTAAATTCCACATTTCTTTTAGATGCTAAAGATTGTTAACAGATTTATTTATTATGAAAGGTAAATAAGTTGGCTTGCCTAGCTACCACGAGTAGGCGCCATCACGATCCCGATGGTGGGAAATCCGGGTCGTGACATGAATCAACTACTAACTACTCGTTGGTCCATTCTAACTTATTTATCATTAACATCCTGGTCGGAAACCCTTACTTCCTTTCCCCGGCGCCGCTTGCATAATATTTTGGGGTCCTAACATATCTGTAGGATTTGAATAAGTGCATACTCATCCCTTTCACATTTTTGTCCCATTCTTCCTTTACTATTCCATAGTTACCTGAACCACTTAACTCCAACTTAATACCATATCACACAATCTTCCCCCCTTTAGGGGAGTACTAGCATTTAATGCTCTGAAGTTTACATGGCAGATGTAATACCTCTTCATCTTCGGCGTCTTTCCATATTTTTTTTTGATAACCCTTACTCGCGTTGCAATAACCCTTCTTGTACCCGAGATAACTAAATTTCTTACGCACGAGGGTGACGCCTAGTGTAACTAGCACTCTTAGTCCCTTAAGCTTAACTTCGCTCACAGTGCTTGCTTTAGGGATGCATCTTCCTGAATGACCTTTAAAGGTAATTCTTCTGTCGTCCATTCTATTATTGCCGGAACACGGTCTTTGAAATTCCTATGATGTCGACTATTATCAAATCCTCTAGTCCCTAATTCATGTTCAATATTATCTTGTTTACTAGCACATGCTGATCTTTATTACTCCAAGGGCCTAACTTAGCCTTCTAGTAATCGCATTGTAGTCACCAACTCATTTCTCGATGTGAGGGTATGACTTTATGGCTTATACAGTTTTATTGTCTGAATGTCTGTTACCTCTTGTCTTTTCCTTCACTTGACTATAGACTCTATTATCATGTCATATTTTAATTTACCTTTATCACCCATTTATCACATCTTACTCAAAATGCTTCGTTTACTCTCTTCTTATTCTCCTGCTAACATTTCTGTCCATCACTTTATTTTGAGAACTTCAACAAAACATTCTTTCCCTTTTTCTTTTGCTCCCCTTGCTCCATCCACTAGATCTTCGAGCCGGCTAATATTCTCTTTTTACTAGGGGCGGGAGGCATACTTAGGTAAATATTTATCGCTTCTAGGATTCCACTACATGTCTTCTGATATTTCTGAACGTTCTAATATTCATATCTGACTGTATCATTATATAGTGCACCATCTGGTATACACGGTCTAATAAGGCCTTAAACGGGGCCACGTCGTCAAGAATTCCCTATTTACTAATGCCCTTACCCACTACTGTATTAGCCCTCTAGCTAGCTGTAATTTTGCTAATTGAAATCATCTCTATATCATTAGCGAACATAAGTTTTGGCTCGAACTCTTATGACTCAGCTCTATAGCACGATTTGGATTTGAAAGAAGGGTAACAAACTCCTAAATGCCTTGTAGCTTCCTGTTTATATAATGTGGTGCACAACACATCTATAAACAAGGCTTTACCAGACACGGCTTGTAGACACCCTATGATAGATCTGCTCTGATACCAAGTTTGTTACGCCCCAAAAGTACATGTTATAACATTCCCAACTTATCGACTTTCGACGAAACTTATTTTCTTTAATTCGTTTAGCTTCTAATCCTTCCAACCCTCTTGGTACTTGGAATTCGTGATCTTAAATATTTGTAACCTCCACGATAACATGATTAACTTACTTTATAAACTTTTCAAAGATGATCTCATTTATGAGCTTACATCAATTGACTTACGATGCACTCTTACATACGAAAACATGGGGTGTAACATCTTATGTCAGTTGACTTGTGTCTTCTAGAATAAACTTGAGAATATATAATTTTTTAATATTTTTTAGTTAACTCTTAAATCTCCAAAGGTTATATGTCCTTGTTGAAACAAAAAAGAAAGTCTAATAACTTGTGAAATTGAAGTAATAAAATTATAAAATTGGGAGAAATATTAAGTTGAATATAATAATTGAGATGCATGATTGAGAACTAGACACGCAAAGCACGTACTCTAAAAGCCCGTTTGAACATAAGAAATTTTTTCCATTTTGCCAAAAAAATTTTCACTTTTTTTCGAAATCAACGTTTGCTTATAAAATTTTCAAATTTCACTTGAAGATGCAGAGCCCGTTTGGACATAAGAAATTTTTTCCTTTTTTCAAAAAAATTTTCACTTTTTTTCAAAATCAGCGTTTGTTCATAAAATTTCCAATTTTCACTTAAAGATGCATTTTTGGAAATTTTTAAAAATTTTAAAAACTTCAAAAGGTTATTTTTCAAAATTTTCGCTCAAATTACTCACAAAACAGCAAAAACAACCTAAAATTATATTCATGTCCAAACAGAACTCTAAATTTCAAATACCATTTTCACTTGAAAAAAAATTTTCACCGTGTTTTGGAATTTTACAATTCTTATGTCCAAACGCCCACGCATTTTGTAATTTTTCAAAAATTTGAAAAACTTCAAAAAGTTGTTTTTCAAAATTTTCATTCAGATTACACACAAAAATTTAAAAAATAACCCAAAATTATATTCATGTCCAAACACAACTCAATTTTCAAATACTATTTTCACTTTTTTTGTGAAAATTTACAATTTTTATGTCCAAACACCCACTAAATTTCAAATACTATTTTCAAATAAATATCACTCTTTTTTTGGAATTTTACAATTCTTATGTCCAAACGCCCACCAAGGCTAGTAACTTTATAATCGGGAATTTGGAATTGCTTTTATGGAGGGTCATTATTGGAAGAACATTAGTGAACAAAGCAATAAAATCCATATCCCATATCCCAAGTCCACTTGGCGTCGAACCGTCTTTCATCACTGACAATATTAAAGCAAGTACGCAAACAATCCACCCTTCTTCAAAGTTACCAAATTACCCTCATACTTAAAAACCCAAACTACCCCTGCCCGCTGCCCCCGGTCACCCTGTTGAGTCACACTCCTTTTGATTGTCTTCTCCTACACACCAAAATCCTCTTCTGAATCGTCAATGGAAGACTCTCACTCAAAGTCCCACTCTCACTCTCACTCTCAGCAGCAGCACTCTTCTTCCGAGCAACTCAGAGATGGAATATCTGCCGTAAATGACGGCGGTATCAGCTCCGGCGCCGCCGGATTCAATGGCGGTGCTAAATACAAGTTCATGACTCCTGCTAAGCTCCCGATCTCTAGGTCCACGTGTATCACCATCCCTCCCGGTCTCAGTCCTTCCTCCTTCCTCGAATCTCCTGTTCTTCTCTCTAACATCAAAGTGAGTAATTTTACAGTTTGTTTTGCTAAAATGTTCCACGTAATTGAAGAAATGTGAGTAATTTTTGTGAAGTTAGTTAGGGCACGGTACTTTATTATTTTTTTAATCGGAGCAGCATTGGACTAATCATAGTATATCGAGAGGAAGTAAGGTGATTGTGACACTAATTAGCTGTTGTTTTTATGGATTGATAAGAAAACGAAGGACAAGCGAAAAGGAAAAAAATTAGGGAATCTTAACCACTATTAAGATAATCTTAATTAGTTTAACTGTTGTTAAGAGTAAGGTGTATAGTTGTGCTGTCTTCAATTGAGTGAAATGCAAACTACTCCTTTTACTTATAATATTTTTTTTGCCTTCTTTAAAGTTGTGCTTTGCTTACGTCATAATATACTCTCAGGTGGAGGATTTGAGGAATTATTTTGATGTGATGGTTGCTTTGTTAAAGTACGGTTTGGATTATTGATTAGATATTTGGTTCTTTTCATAGGCATTGCAACTTGTTCCTTTGATTCTTTTTTCCATCTGAGTGCTCATTTAAGAATATAATATTTATCTATAAATATAACTATGCTTTTCTGTGTTAATTGCAACCGTCTGTTCTGATGCTTGCCTGAAGGGATTTACTATATTGGTGCTATATATTGCTTTTTTTAAATAGAATCGTGCTTCTGGCTTTTACCATAATATATATTCTTTGTTCTTCTGCCTGGAAAAGCTCAGTTAGGCCTCAGTGTTGTTTTTTCACATAATGAATCTTCCTTTTTGCTAGGTGCTCAGCTTTTCCACTATGTTGTTCCCCGAGGAAAGATGATGTTTATTTTATACATGTTCTGTCCTGATTGTGACATCAGTAAAGTCCCCTAAATTTGTCTTATTCGGGCATAAATGCTAATGTTCTGAGTTCAGTGGCTGTTGCATATCAGTAACCTTTTTCACTACTATAAGTAGCATTGATCTGCCTCCACTCAAATGAAAAAATTAGCCAGAAAGTGACGTGAAATGAAAAAATTTCTCTCACAAAGAAGCAGAAAATTGAGAAAGTAACATTAAATAATATGTATCACGTCTGTCTATGCATAAATGCAATTTCCCCTTGGAAAGGAAAATTGTGATCAATAACTTAGTCTATTTCATTTACCTTTAACCTGCAGGCTGAGCCGTCTCCAACTACAGGTTCCTTCTCCAAGCTTCAAGCAGTGCAAGGCTCTGGTGGGAACGCTGCATTCTTATTGAAAAGAGGTTATTCCAGTGGCAATACATACAGTGAAGGAAAATCCAGCTGCTTTGAGTTCAAATTTGCTGGTGGATCTAGTTCTACATCAGGATTTGTTGCGGAACATGTGGTAATGCTCTGTTGAAATATTATCGATGTTGAATTAGAAAGAGAGAACAATACAAAAAGATGACTAGTTGTTTTTTTGTTTTCTCTCTCTCCCCCCCCCCCTCCCCAAACAAAGGGCTTTTCTGTATTAGCAGTATGTCTTCTTTGACAACTGACATATGCTTGATTTAGGGAAATTGAAAATTTAACTCTTATGTTCTTGGAATTCTCTCTTTCTCAAGTTATGGTGTCTATTTGCCCTTAATGCCAATTGTGTAGGTTTCGATGGTATTGTAACATGCTATAAGGATGTACGCTTTTATTGATTTGCTAAGGTAGGTGTGTTTCAATATCGTAGAGACTCATGTTTCTTAAAGGGCAACACTCCAGTCCTTTTCAAACAACTAGAGCAATAGTAATTTGGTTATGTCTGTAAGTTGACAGCAGCATGAGCAGTAGTTGAGTATGTTCATGCATAATAAGGAATGAATTGTTCAACAGGTGATGTGACCGTCATTTATTTTGCATTGTTAATGATCCTGCTTCCCTGTTTGATGTGACACATTACTATAATGACATGATATTGCGTTTACGTATTCCAAGAATTGGAAGTCATTAAACAAATAAAAATTATAAAAATCATTTAATTTGCAGGGAATGTCCAATGACTAACTTATCTATTCTTCTGCCACCATTAAATTCAATTTAGCATGTACGTTATACTTAACAATGCGCTAGTCAAAGTAATTTTGTTGAACTTTTAGCAAATCAACATGTAGTATCTGTATCACACAATTCCATAAGCAGGGAAATGACTGCTTTTTCTTGTGCTATTTGCTCAAAGTCCTTTTATTGAACTGAATTTGGTTTTAAAAGAAAAAAAGATACTTTGATTAAATTAAAGATAAAGATTGAGCTATTGATAAATGAAATAATGGATTGTAGCTGTCATAAAAGAAATTCATTTCTTACAAGAAAATTATGATACTTGTTTTGCACTATGAACTGCTTTCTATATTTGTTACTGTTTTCTTCCTCTTCCTTCTTGTTTTGTTGTGCATGGTGGGTGAGTGGATGGGCTTGATGATATGCTTCCTTTATTTGCCGACACTTTTGTTATTACAGCCTCTCTGTCCTTTCAGGGATAGGGGTAAGGCTGCATACATCTTACCCTCCCCGGACCCCACTTGTGGGGAAACTACTGGGTTTGTTGTTGTTGTTTTGTTATTACAGATTTATTCTTTTGTTCTTTTCTGATATTATTGTCTCGTCTATTGAGCCGAGGGTTTCCTGGAAACAGCCTCCCTACCCCCGGGTAGGGGTAAGGTCTGCGTACACTCTACCCTCCCCAGACCCCACTAGTGGGATTCTATTGGGTTGTTGTTGTTGTATTTCCGAGTTTATCTTGAAGGTTTTAGCAGAGGATGCAAGTACCTTGCACGCCTTTTTTCTTTTTTGGCCTCTTCTAATGGGCTTTCTCTTCTTTTATATCTCTAAAAATCAATATGTGAATTTATTTCTTGACCCAAAAAAAAACAAATTCTTTTCTGTTTGTTTATTGAGTACCTTATTTTCAGAAAAAGAAAAGAAAATTGTAGTAGTTTACTTGTAGAATCTGGTTGTTACTTCCTACATTCCTAACACACTTGTGTAATCAAGATTTCTACAGGTTTGAACCAACAACAAAATGAGCCATTAAAAGAAGTTCAAGACCAAAGTCATCCTCAATTGGTAGCAACTTCATCTCTAGCTAAGCACAAGATGGCATCATCAAAAGAACTGAGTTTATCTGCACCTATAAATGTTGATGATTTTTCAAAAGAAGAGAGTCTATCTGCACCTATTAATGTTGATGCCATGAATATGAGAGGTCAATCTAATACAAGCATGCAAGTTTCACTTGCTGATCATAAAGATGTATCATCAGTAACTGCTGAGAGATCATCAGATGATGGGTATAACTGGCGAAAGTATGGCCAGAAACTTGTAAAAGGAAGTGAATTTCCAAGGAGCTATTACAAATGTACTTACCCAAACTGTGAAGTGAAAAAGATATTTGAGCGATCACCTGAAGGACAAATAACAGAGATCGTTTATAAAGGTTCTCATGATCATCCTAAACCCCAACTGAGCCGTCGATTTACTCCCGGTGCTCTCATGTCCATCCAAGAAGATAAATGTGAGAAAGTAGCTCTTTTAGTATTGTTTCCCTCTCGATGAGCATAAAGTGGTAATTTTGAAAAAAAAAATCTTAATTTTATTCTGAGTCAATCTTATCAATTCTCAGTCTTTGTTGAGGACAAGTTCAACACCAATGCCCAGACCGGTAAAATTGAGCCCATTAGTACTCCCGTATCACCTCAGCAAGTGGATGCTGATGGTCCTGAAGGGGCAGTTTCACAGATGCAGGGCACTAGTGATGATATGGATGAGGATGATCCATTTGTGAAAAGAAGGTAAAGCTAATGGAAAGCCTTCAATATATTCCTGCTAATAGATCTGATTAAATGGTTAAAACTTTAAGCAGGAAAATGGATGGTGCAATGGATATAACACCGGTGATTAAGCCTATCCGTGAACCACGCGTTGTCGTTCAAACTGTCAGTGAAGTTGATATATTGGATGATGGGTACCGGTGGCGCAAGTATGGACAGAAGGTGGTCCGAGGCAATCCTAATCCTAGGTATGCAACACTTTATGGTTTGTAGTTACTTGAACATATGACCTTGTGTTACATGAATGTCATGTACACAGACACTTAAATGTGGTATGCAACAAGTATTTGACAAAGGTCATTGCTGGTTGTTGGTTAGTCTCTAGAGTAGTCATTTAAAACGATCAAGTATTTGGTGGGTGTGTAGTCTAAGAAAATATGATACTTGTGATATCATGCCCTTCTCCTGATGAGAGGCAAAAGCCTAAAAGAGACAATAGGATCCTAAATCCATCAATATCCAAGATATTGCTGTTGTTGGGTGTTTAATAGGAATTAGAGACCACTTATCGTTAAATTCATCAAACATTCGCATGTATCATGGTTTATCTAAACTAATCCACATACATTACAATTCTTGTAAATCTCTCGTAAGCTTTTGTAACACGTCCATGCATAGAGGGATGCTCTATGGTGGAAATCTATAGAAGCTATGGGTTTCCAGCATTTTCTTTTTCCTTTTAACCTGCAAAGTCCATGCATTTCCAAAATTCTTAAGTCACCTTTGAGTTTCTTTTAATATTCTCTAATCATGAGTGGTCAATATATTTTCTCCTAACTTCCGTGTCATGCAGGAGCTATTATAAGTGCACCAATGCTGGATGCCCTGTCAGGAAACACGTGGAGAGGGCTTCTCATGATCCCAAAGCTGTTATCACCACTTATGAAGGAAGACATAATCACGACGTACCTGCTGCAAGGTCTAATAACCATGAAATGGCAGGATCCACGCCTGTAACTGGCGGTTCAAGGATCAGGGCAGAAGAGACTTACTCTATTAATCTGGATCTAGGTGTTGGTATTGGATATGGTGTGGAGAATGGGAACAATAGGCAACTTCACACCGTCCATAACCAAGTTCAAGTTTCACGTTCCGGTATGATGGTAGTGCAACCAGCTGCAATTGCGGCGCGTTATGGTATTGTAAATGGTAGCATGAGCCGGTTTGGACCTATAGATAATCATGTTCAAGGACATGGTTTTGAGACTTTGCCTTTACAACCTTCTACTCAATTTCCTCAAAACTATGGAAAGATACTCTTGGGCCCATGATTGTTTCTACCTCCAACTTCCAAGTATAAGCTTAACAATAAGAAGCCACCATCTATTTTTTCTTGAATATTGGTGGATTACAAAAGACATCTCTAGTTGAAGTATAGATACTTGCCCTCATACTTCTAGGACCCATCATGCTGTATTATACAACTGCTCAGAAAAATGTTGCACTTCCTTTGTACATATCAACAGTATATTAGGAAGTGAACAACAGTGGATGTCTGAGCAAATATCCACCTCCAATATCTTTATCCCCATGAATAGGCAAATTTTGATTGGGCGACTGTGAGCACTTGAATCAATGGCATTTTCTAGGATTTATGGACTTCTTCAATATGTTCTATTTACGGTAACTAGGAGGCATTGAGGCAAGCACATGGCAATTGTATTTTTTGAAAATAAATAATATGGTAAAGATAATATGAAAGTGCTATAAGATAATATGGCATCGTACACGTGATTGTTATCTATCGTGCAAATGGTGATTGCAAAATCTCCGTTTACTGGTTTCACCCATCACTCTAGCATACACAACCATAGACGTGCGTTTTAAAGGCTGGCTATTTGCGGGTTTAAGTTATATACGCTAACATTCTAAAAACTTTTTATGATATATCAATGCAACTTAATCAGTTGTGTCCCATTGAGATTTAGTCCTATATCATTCTGGTTCGTCTCTAAAGGACAAAAAAAAAAAAAAAAAGACTAATTGTGTTATTATAGATCAACTTAACTTGATAGTGTACGAAAAGTAAAGGAAAGAAATATATAGCAAGATTAGTGTCCAGCCTAAAAATCTTTTGTAAGTGATAAAAGGTTTGAATAGGACGAAATGGATATAAGTGATTCATATAGTAATATCATTCTGGTTCGGACCGCACCATTATAACTATTACGGGGTGTTGCATAACAAAGTAACACTAATATGTTACAATATGCCAAGAGCGACATTAAATTAGATCAATGTCGAACAAACCTAATTTCTGATACAGGCATATCCGGCCTCAATATAATCAACTTTGGGTCATACGTAGTTGAACGGCAACAACTCACTCTTTATATGGAGAAAGAAAAAAACTGATACAGGTTCTAAAAAGATTATAGTAAAGTGCTCTTAACTCAATACGAACAGAAAGGTCTACCTTTTACCATTATCAAGCTAGAAGTTACATGCACCTACTTACAGGTAGGGTAGGGTACTATTTCCAGGCACAAGAGGCAACTAAATCTCGTTTCATCCAGCCAAGATAAAGAGCGCCATTTCTCTCATCAAGCGTATAACTTTGGTAGTAATTCTCCAGCAGGGTCTTGATTGTAGCATTTACTGAGGAGCTTAATGGATATGGATTGAACCCAGCCATAAGAAATCGTGACCTCCACCTTTCAAGAAGCTCATGACGCTCCACTCTTTCTGCCCCTTCACATGCTATTATGTTCACAATTTCCCGGGCCAGGCAATGTTGCTCAACGTTGATTCGTTGCTTATGGTCCCTAGGTAGAGCAACATCTATTGATTCAAATATAGATAGGTAGTAGTTCAGTGTCTCCAAAAACCTGGGAAAGAACTGGACTCTATTAGTGTTGGACTCTTGCTCCACTAAGGTCACAATCTTGGGAGTCAAGCTCTTAACCATCCTCAGAAGTCTGTCTCTGTGATTTTGAGTGCCAACACTCTCATCAGGCATATGGTGCAAGATAAGTGCAAAATTCACGGCCAATGGTTCGCCAGACCGAACCTTAAGATGCTCAATCTCAACATCCGAGCAAGAAGCAGCCACGGGATGAAATTCAAAAGGTACATTGCAAGATGCAGCAATGCTTGATAACCTCCGACCAACAATTTCAATCCCTCCTCCTCTGGCATAAGCTGACGTGGAATCATCAATCCCTGTAATGCGGATTCGTGGGGGTCCACCTGGCCGGGCTGCAAGAGCATGGATTAGGGTGATCCACTGGCTGCCCTGGGAAATCTGAAAATCAATAATATGAATTGTGTTCTCTTCTTTCATGGCATCAACAATTGCACCATTTGCTGACAAATATCCAAACTTGAAGTATGGGCAGATTTCATAAAGCAAATGCATGTATGACATTAGCTCAACGCTAGTCGGCTCTTTGCACCTTAGGGACTTGTAGATGGAGCTTCCTGAGGAGGCCAATCTGGCAACTAATCCTTCCAGCATATATGCTCCTAAGCGTTGTATTGGAGAACCGCAAACTGATACCACTGTGCGTAGTTCTGACATTAACCATTCAGCTGTTACTAAATTATTATCTGCTATTGCTTTAGCACAGGCAATAAGCACTTGTTTCAAATCTCCATTAGGCATCATTTCCATCATATCAACCCATTTACCTGACTCCGACGAAATTTGATTGGCTGCAGCCAATGGAGTAGTATTATATGACTCCAAGCTTTCTGAATCAGGCCCCAGCATTGCAGTTTCGAGTTCCTTTAGCTTGTGCTTCAGGCCAGTACCATCACTAGTGAAGCACGAACTGTTACCTGACGAGTGGTACGTATCATCAGGAGAATGATGCATGCCCGAAGGACATGAATCAGAACCTTGGTGCATCATGGAATTGTCATCAGCAAAGAAAGTATCAGCAGGAGGTGAATCAGAGACAAGTTCACTAGAATTTCCAGTGGATGATTCAACATAGCAGTATTGGTTGTGTTTTAAGGCAGAGAATTGTGTCTGCTGACCACAATCAGCATAAAGTAATTGGTTGTTATTCGGGTTGTTAATGGAAGGCAGAAAAAAAGATTCTTGATCCTCTACGGGTTGGTTATAGAACCTGTTAAACTCATTGATATCCTTCGCGTTTTGAGAAGGCCTCATTGTGAAATCAATTTAAATATCCAGAAGATAATAGTACCAATTCCAGCATACAACCGGGTTGAATTCGTTAACAGAAAGTTCTCCAGTTCCAAGCTTTAGTATTCACATCCATAACTACAATTGTCAATAATGAGTAATGAGAAATCTGAAAAAACCAACTATAAAGAAATTTAGGAGTGTAAAGTGTTGCAGAAATGTTTTTGTTCATAAGTCCTAAAAAGCAGTTGGACCAATGTTGCAACCTTTTCTTTTCATAAATTTTTTAAAAGGTCTAGGTTGAAGGGTTAGGTCCCTACAGCCTTGGCCCTTTAGATCTTCGATAAAAAAACTGAAAACCAAAACTTTCATGATTATAAATAAAATTCATTAAAGTCATCTCAGATTTACTGGCAAATAAATAACTCCCATCAACAGATAATGGAAAAAGCAGTCTCAGATGCTCTCTTACCACTTGCATCCTAACAGCAGATATTAGCTAAATATAAAGAAAATAACCCAAAAAAAAGAAGCAAGAACAACAAAACAAAAGGGAAGAGTAAGTAAGATGCAAAAAGGGGTTATAAGTTTATACAAAAAGATCCAATTTTTTCAAGAATTTAGAGGAAAATGGGGCTTTAAGTTTATACAAAAAGATCCAATTTTTTCAAGAATTAAATCTTCAGATTATCACATAAAGTAAAAGAAGAAATACCTGATACTCAGAGGAGATATCTTTAAGCAGAAATCCAAGAACATGAGTGAAGCAATTATCAAAAAATGCTAACTTTAAACACGGAATATCCCATTTTGGGAAGCCCTCAAGTCTTGGCCACTAGTGATAAAAAAAGCCAGCCAGCTGAAAAAAAATGACTAATGAAAGTCAAAACAAAAATTCACAGCAATGGGGCCTCAGCCTCAAGGGAGAGCATCAATCTTGATTTTTTCAACTTTGCAATAATATTCAGTAAAAAAATAGTTTTGCTGATTTTTATCCTTGACTTTGGAAGATGTTTTTAGTCAGCGTTAAACGTACAATAATCATTGACTATTTGACTAGATAATATGGATTTAGGAATAGCAAGGTAGGTGAGTGCAACATTAGTGAAGGCCAAAAAAATAAAAATACATGGTGTTTGCATTAAATAAATAAATTACAAAATTTTGTGTGGTTATAAATTGTTTATCAGTTAATATTAAATACTATGTATTCTTATTTCTTGCAATATTATGATTAAATTTGCTGATAATATAAGAAATCAGAAACTTTTGACTGTTACAAGAACCCCATACCTAAGTCCACGGCAAAAGAATAAGTATTGCATTTATTATTAGCAAATTAATGCCAACCTTTGGCCATCCCCTACATTAAATAATATTCTACGTTAAATAATCTCCTTTCGTTGTCCATAACTGACCGTCTTATTTTCTCTCTTAGGATATCTTAAAATTGTAGTATTATTTGTTTCTTTAAGATAAATAAATTTTTTTGCAACGCTTGTAGTTTGTCATTACTCTAGGAAGTTAATACAACATTGCACCTACTTTTGTTTAAACAACATTCAAATTATTAAAAAGGAAAATGGTTTCCACTTTCATTTGGTATAATCCAACTCCTTATTAAGTTACTCAAGCTGCCTTTAAAAAGAAATAAAGTTACTCAAAGCTTTCGAACACTAGAAAAGTGAATTGATCTCAATTGAGGGTATCTCTAACCCTTGTGCCATTTTTTTACGCCAAAATGATGTAAACATCAAAATGGGGTACAAACTAATTCTAATCCATTATATTATTTTTTATACCAAAAGAAGAATCTCTCTTTTATATTCTTCTCTCTCTTCTATATTATGTGATTTTATTTTATTTAAATTAGTTTTTTTATTTCGTAAAATCCTTTCTTTTTTTTCTTTTTTACATATTCATATCATATAATTCATATTCCTTTTTTATGTAACCATTTACTATAAAAAAATTATACCGTAAATATTTAAATAACATAAATTGTAAGCAAATATTATTTTATACCTACCAAAATACTAAATTATTGTTATTTTCTCATCCCATTATGTTGTTTAATGTATTATATATTTTAATCTATTTCAATCGTTATTGTATTAAATATTTATTTTTATGTTATTTAATGAAAATTTTATTAACAACATATTATATTTTATATTTGCACTTTTTATTTTTGTGATGGTTATATCTTTTTATACAATTATAACTTATAATAAAATTAAGTTACAATTTTATATAAAAATAATATATACGAAAATTGATTTATAAAAATTATACACTAAAATTAAGATGTAAATTAGTATTATAAATATATTACATGAAAAGTATAAGTAATTATTGCTCTTTTACTGAACTCGATTTCGGTAAAGCACTAGCCAATCCATTTTTAGACAAAATAGTATCCAATGGATTAAATCCTTGTAATCTCTTTGATAACCTTGATCGTATTTCTAGTCTTCTTCTTATTATTTGTCATAAAGCTCTTATT